TGAAACCAGTTCAAGATGCATTATTCTTATTCTTATCATTCTTTATGAGCGCAGTAACGGTAAGGTATCTAATTACTTATTTATTTAGTTTTCCATAACCAGAGTTGGGTGTAACGCGTTACTGTAATAATATTACTTTTGTTGGTAACGGAGTAGTGTAACGCGCTACTTTTATAATTCAGTGATCACACTACAGTTACTAACATTGCCCCGACACGCGTTACTTCGTTACTTACTAAAATCAGTCATAATCACACTGACAGACAAGAGGAGTTTCCGCCACAGGTTTATATGTACGTAATCTGCGCGACTTGCACGTCCACATCTCCACGTGCAGTGCTGCATAAACATGGCCGAGTCAGCGATAACTTTCTAGGGGTGGAATTATGCCCATTATTTTGAGTTTGTCCAAAGAATAGACAGGAATGTGACGGTGAGGTGCAAACTGTGTCCAGGCCAGAAGCTGTTATCCATTGCTGTAAACACCACGTCAAACCTCAACAAACACCTGCAAAGAACACATGCTAAGGTGAAGCTAATAGCTAAGGACCCCCAAACTCAGAGAGAGGATGTTGTGAGTGTGCCGCCGCCGACCCCGAAGCAACAAAAATTTGAATTTGGAGGACCGGTAACCAAAGCAGAGATGGACACGTCATTTCACATTCTAGCACAGTTTATTGCTCTTATACCTTGATTGTTGCCAATTACGATGTTTAACAGCTTGCTTAAAGGAACTTTGACGCTGGTATCAGTTTACCACCAATCACGGGAGTATTGTGTATAGAAAGTATTGAGTTATATTTCTCGCGCTACCTAACATCCTTGAAGGCAACATGACAGAGGGAGGCCTGCCTCTCAGGATGCCAAACTACTCTTTGCTAAGCCCCCCCCCCCACGCAACATCAGGGCCAAAAGTCTGAAAGCGAAAAAAAAAGATCTGAAAGCGAAAAAAAAGGTCTGAAAGCGAAAAACGATCTGAAGGCGAAAAGCAATGTGAAACNTACAATGTTATTTCATGCATGGGTGAGTGTTTCTTAGCTATATTTTTGTAAATCCATTTATTTAATCATTTAATATTCCAAGTATTAATAAATATCTTGTTTTTGATCACCACACATCATTATTTTCAATCAATCTTTCAAAATGTAGGAACTAAAACGGTTTTTGTATTAATACATCAGGTTTGATAACAATGATTAAAAAAAACATACTATAATAATAATAATTGTGTTAAACATAATTATTTTATCAGTGATTTGGACAATACATTAGGCTGGGTGGTGTGTGTGTTTGGTCTTTTTAGCCCACATCTTTCCATTGCTCCTGTAATGTGCTTTTGGAGGTGGGGCGTGCCCTCCATGCGCCTCTTTATTCACTATAAAGACAAAAGTATTGGGCCACCGACACATTACACCTACAGGAGCTTTTATGACATCCCATTCCAAATTCTTAGTCATTAATATGAAGTTGGTCCCCCCTTAGCAGCTACAACAGCTTCCACTCTTCTGGGAAGGCTTTCTACAAGATTTTGGAGTGTATCTGTGGGAATTTGCCATTCATCCAGAAGAGCATTAGTGAGGTCAGACACTGATTTTGGACCAGAGGGCCTGGCTCTCCATTCCAGTTCATCCCAAAGGTGTTCAGTGGGGTGGGGGTCAGGGCTCTGTGCGGGCCAGTCAACTTCTTCCACACCAAACTCATCCAACCATGCCTTTATGCACCCTGCTTTGTGGGGCACAGTCATGTTTGAACAGAAAAGGGCCTTCCCCAAACAGTTTTCCACAAAGTTGGAAGCATAGAAGTTTTGGTGCTGATATTAATGCCAGAGCTGGAACTCTGCAGTTATTGAGTCAACAGAGCTTTGGCCACTTTTACGCACTATGCTCCTCAGCATTGCCCCTCCCGCTCTGTAACGTTATGTGGTCTGCCGTGGCTGAGTTGCTGTGGTTCCTAAACGTTTCCACTTTGCAATAATACCACTTACAGTTTACCGTGGAATATCTAGGAGAGAAGAAATTTCACCAACTGACTTGTTGCAACGGTGGCATCCTATTGCAGTACCACATTGGAATACAGTCAGCTCTTTAGAACGACCCATTCTTTCACACATGTTTGTAAAGGCAGACTGCATGGCCAGGTGCTTGATTTTATACACCTGTGGCAATGACACACCTGAATTCAATGATTAATACTTTTTTCATATAGTGTATGTGGCATGACAAGCTCTTTACCCAGCTCCTTGATGAAACGCTGCTGTGCATTGGTCACACCACCCATGTAATCAGGGTGTTGTGCAGTAAAGATGGAGTAGGCATTGAGGGTGGCAACATTGAGCACATGGTGCCAGAGCACCATGGACCTCCTCCATGTTCTCCGCTTGCATTGTGAACTCCGGCACGAACCGTTAAGGGAACCATCTGATCCATTGTGTCCACTCCTGATTTTATTATGTTATATTACTGAATCACTTCTGGTTTCTTCTTTACACTGTTGTCATCCACTGCTCTGTCATCATGCATGGTGCTCAGGAACTGTCAGAACTCCATCACCTTTGCACTAGATATTTCCCTGATGCAGAAACCTCATCAACAGGACATCTCTCTGGAGAGGAGCAGTAATGGAGGCTTTTTGAATACTTCCTGCTACCAGCCGTGCTCCATTAGGGATACTGCAGGTCGGCTCGGTGCAGCTCTCCCATCTGACAGCAGACATCCTTTGAATAACCCCAGAGTAAATGATGCAGGCCCATCAACATTTTGCTGTATGAGCACCTCTGATATCCTGTTTACTTCCTCCGCCAAAGAAAATGGTAGTTTCTGCTCCTGTCATCTCAACATGTATGTTCCCTGATCCTCTGCACTTACCCTCCATGTGTTCTTCCTTTTTAACTGAAGTACTGCCAGCGTTTTAAAGCTCCTACTGTATAGCCGTCCCAGTGGCGCGAGTCGCAGCTATTGATCGAGACACTTATACCCTCAGAATCCATTCACCCATGACCACTCCTTGATATGGAGGTCATGATGTGTTGAAGCCTACAGTATAAGTCATAAACAAGTCAGAGTAAAGTATGTCTTTAAACAAGCTTTAGAAATGTCATAGCATAGCATGTCATACAAATATCATGTTGTCAAAGGTATGTCGTGTACATTCATAAATGGTCATAGTGTAGTATGTCGAAAAAGTCAGAAACTGTCTAATGTAGTATGCCATTTAAAGAAGAATAGTATAGTCATGTTATACAAAGATTTCATGACAAATTGAAAGTATAATATGTAAAAAAAAAAAGGTAATAATAATAGGAGATAATTTGCCCTAAAAAAGAAACTGTGACTATTCATAAAAATATCATAGTATAGTATTTTATGAAAAAAAAGAAGGAAGGAATAATTTGTCATAAAAAAGTCACAGTATAAAAATCCTAAAAAGGTCATATTATATAGTATGTCATACATTTTTTTTTTTATGATTAGTCATGAAAAATGCATAATTTGTCATAGAAAAGTCATAGTGTGTTATAACATAAAATAAATGTCGTAATTGGTATACCCTAAAAAATAAACAATATTGTATAATCAGTCATAAAAAAGTAATTTTACAGTACGACATTAAAAAGTGATATTGCCCTACATTTCTCCTCTCAGCCCGGTGTCAGGGCTAAGCTGTGAACTGTGCTCAGTGTGTGCTCAGTGAGATCCTGAGAGACCTTTAAAGCTCTGTCCTTGACACCTGACCTCAGAGGAGAGGAGACACGCTGCGCCGCCGCCACGAAGGACACCTCGGCTTAGTTTGATATTGGAAGCTTCAGTGTGAAGGACACTGAGTGGCTTCAGCAGCTGAGTTTGAAAAAGTAAAACTCAATCAAAATGGAAATGTAGTGTTTGAATCGGTGATGTAAACTTCATTTTGAAACGGCACATTACATGCTAAGCCCCAGCTTCATATTTAGCATACAGATGTGAGGGTAATGACTTCTCATCTAACTCTCATCAAGAAAGAAAGACGAGCATTTCCTACACTTTCTGATACTAACCGCGGTGAGGGTAAATGTGTCTTATGTGAAATACTTTCTAAACAAAAACATTTTTAATAGAAAGTTATTTTTTAATACCTTCCATGTCATGTCACCCATTGACCCCATACATTTAACATTGTTATGACAGACACCAGTCACAGATACAGTTTTCATTTATGTTATTATTATATTAAATAGAAAACACTTTTCAATAAAGTAACTTAATTTTAAATAATACATTCATTAACATCCTATTAAAAGAGGTGTGTCCTTCTCATCCAGTGTAGTAATACAATTCTGTATGTATTTGAAGTTATTAGCTTACAAGACATGGAAGCTATTCAAAACAAATCAGATATGTCAATAAAGAAAACTTCTACATTTCCATAACCGAAAATCATGTTATAGAAAAATCAATAACCGTCCTCTGACGTATTAAACGTGATTGTACCTATAATATGGCAATACTAATGGCTGTCCTGACAGAAAGCACATTGAGCATGAATCACATTTAAAAGAGTATTTCAGTGTAAAATCAAGTCATTGGATGACTGCTGATTTTGACCAAGATGATAAAATAACAGATTAAAGTAGCAACTCATTTCCCAAAAGTCTGAGCAGCATCTCTTTGTTCATGTCGCTATGCAAATCATCCCAAAAATCTACAGTCTGATCAGTGCACTATTGATGCCCCCTTGAAGATTATTTCCATTTCATTACATTGTCACTCAGCCAGCTTTGTTTGGCTACAATCTACATTTGCCTTTGAACATCAACGGCACCTTTTGTCAGAAACTGCTGTATCGTTCCCAGCAATCATCAGATAGCACTTCTGTTATTTTTACTTCTAGATGTGGCACTGGCCCAGAAAAATAAGATCTGAGTTGATTAGTGAAGCCTGCAAACCCTTTGTGGTGCATCTAAAAGGAGGCCTTCATCTCACGATACACAAAAGACTTAAAATATTCAGATATAACAAAACAAAAAAATCAGGCTCTCATTCATCCTATTTAAGCACAGTAGGAATACCAGCCATTTCTTCAAAACCGCTGAATTAATAAGCAGACATTTTAAGAAAGTTGTTTATTTTAGAGCAATTGTCAGGTGCTTAGTCACTCCTAATAGGTAAGAATCAAGAGTTTCATGTGACACAATGTTATCCAAGAACCCTTTGACTTATCCCTCCAGATTTCTCAGAGGGTCTGGTATCCCCCGGTTCAGTTTGTCTTTCATGTCCTTTTCAGATGCCTCTTCTTCGAACTTTATAAAACCGCCTAAATATCGTGTCAGAGAGCATCCAGCCATCCAGTAAGTGATAGGATCGATGATGAGGTGGGATAGACCAGAGGCATGTCCACGCTCTGCGGAGGTCCTCACAGCAGGACACACACACACATAATCACACACTTAATCACACACACCTCATACTGCATCACTGGAAATTACAGTTTATAGGGGGTAAAGTAAATAGAGCAGCATAATAGTTGCATAGAGATGCAGTCAGTATGGCTCACGTACACACACACACACACACACACACACACACACACACACATACCTGAATGTGGTATTAGCATCCACAATAAATAGGTAATTTCACTCAATGAGGTCTTTACATTCCCATCTGGTGCTGATTCTCTCATCATTTCGGCTGGATGAGTATGGCTCCTTCTCATCCATCACTCCATCAGTCCACTAGTCAGTTAATCAGGCAGGTTCACTGTGTGTTAACGCCTCCAGCAGCTCCCGTCTAGCTGTGGACGAGGATCAATGTCCCGATGTCTGAGGGAGACAAAGCCGGTGAGATCCGGGGGCCGTCAGCCTCCCTGCAGCACTCTGTCGATTTCACTCATCTCCCTCCGCTGGATCGCCCTCATGAGCCTCTCAGCTGAAGAAATAAGTGGATTCTTTCACCCGCTGCAGATCGAAGTCACCTGGAGAGCAAGAGGCGAGGTGTCAGAGCAGGTTTAGGTCTTTGTACAGTAGTTAGAAAAAAAATACATTTGCATTAAACACAAATCTTAAAAACACTTCCGCAAGCTACGTATGCTAACAAAGCTAATTGCTGCAAACTTGCCCGCATTGCATTGTTTAAAACACTGTAACAAACAGTTGGACTGAGACTAGGATAACAATTCATCAAATTAATTAATTGGCAGTATTACTACAAATCTAGAGCAAGGCTAGACTCAGAAGCAACGTTTTTTTTAAGCTAAATGCTAACGTCAGCATGCTAACAGGCTCAGAATGACTACGATAACATGCTGATGTTTATGAGGCATAATGTTTACAATGTTCACTATCTTATATTTCGCGTGTAAGCATTCTTAGATGTGCCAAATAGAACAAAACACAAAGCAGAGTTAGGATAGGATAAGTTATTTTTGAATTGGGTCAAACTCAGGAGCTTAGATAGAACTTTTTTGTTTCCTAAGCACCAGGAAAATTCCCAAAACTTAATATACTACTTGAATTTTAATATTTGCCCCGAGTGAAGCCCTGGCCTGCACTCTGTGTGCTTTTAGCTTCTCTGTCAGCGGCCTACACCAGCAGAAGCTTCATCCTGAATTATTGAGGAAAGGACATAAAAAGTTAAGGAATGCTAAAAATGGTAGCAAATGATGTTGAGATGAATGAGGGAGGGACTGTTATAAACTGTCTTTTTCTCATTATAATCAGAAAGATCTCCCAGCAAAGAACTCTAACTTCAATCTACTCCATGCAGTATATTTGCACTTTTGACCACGTATTGCTCTGAATTTAGCGTGTAAGAAAGTACTTTATTTATTTGTTTAAACACAGACATGATTGTATGCCAAAGTAACATCTAAAAATAAAAGACGTGTTTCTTGACAACAACTTGTATGGTTCTTAAAAACTTGCAGCCAACATTTACTAATCAAATAAACCGAAATCCTCATAAAAGCCAGACCCAAGCTGTTAAACACAGTAATGGAAGTCATCGGTGTGTTTTGCAGCATATCCCCCTCTGTGTGTACAGATCTTCCTGATTCATCGGCTGTCCTGCTGGATTACACACTGAAACCTGATTCACCTCAATAACACGTTGAGGATGCTCCATAGTGAAGATTATAGTGGACTTAAATGTGTGGCCCGGAAAGTCCACTGTATCTGCATTTAAGTCCACTATAATCTTCACTATGGAGCATCCTCAACGTGTTATTGAGGTGAATCAGGTTTCAGTGTGTAATCCAGCAGGACAGCCGATGAATCAGNAGTTTGAGAAACCGGCTCGAAATACACTTTTTGTTATATTCCATGGAATGCTCTTAACATCCCGATAACAATGTGATTTGACACAAGATCCATAAAAAAATTGTCATCAGTGGAAGCCGTAGCG